AAAAAATAAATAAATAAAAAACACTAACGCGGTGACAGCTTATCACATAAATATTCCCTTAACAGGAACATATCCAAGATCAAGAAAAGAGCTAAAGTGGTCACTAAATCTGACTTCCGTAACAAACTGGTAACCTAACTCCATTACAAATTTTTCAAAGTCACTTTTTTTTTTTCAGTCACTTTTTTTTTCAGTCACTTTCTTATTCACTGGAGAAGCTCGTGGAAGAATCGATTTTTCTACCCCTTTTTAAGATATTTTACAAGTTCTGTACGTAATTATATTTAAAATCCATATACGTGTTGAATTCATTTATTTCGAGGTCGTCAAAATTTTCAAGCTACGGCGTTACAACGCAATGTCTTTTCGTACATCAAGTTATTTCCAATTCCAGAGAGAACCCATAGCGGTCACATAATAGTCGACGCAATTAAGCATTGAAATTAGTCAGTGTGGACATTCGATCGAAAAATAGTGATTATACATTTGAATGGAGTCTGTAAAAATGTGGAATCCGTTTTTTTTTTTTTTTTCGTTTCTAACGTTAATGAGAAGAATTAATTCGCTATTAAACAATTTCGGAATAAAATCTAATTTTTGCATTGCCCAGCTGATCAGCTGTAATGAAGTTCAGACAACACGGGAAGAAATAGAAGAATTTGTGAAATACAAACCCGGGGTGAGATTTCAAAGACGGGAAAAGTTGATGAACAATGAAAAATTTACAATAGTTAAGAAATTTACAGGAAATATAAAAAAAAAATCGTACTTTCTATCTATCTTCTACACGCGTTTTGCAGGAGGTGCATGGAGTAATGGATATCGATTATGGGTTGATGAATTAGAAGACTCAGTTCAAATTCCAGTAAATGTAGTTGCATCCACTTCGGAAAGGTATAAATCCATCTTCTCTCAAGCTAGGGGTTAGGGTTATATATGGCGGCTCCGTGTAGGATACAGGTTCGATTCCTGTCGGAGGATGCATATATTACTTTGCGATTTCTCGGACATTCAGGTGGTTAAATATTAATATTGTTTATTATAAACAGAACATCTACTTAAATATTTGTATGTACAAACAAAAAATTATTAAAATAATTGCCGGATATAATATATATATATATATATATATATATATATATATATATATATATATATATATATATATATATATAAAGCAATGTAAATGGATAAAATCCGACAGAATGTAGAAAATTTTTGAAAAACAAACAAAATCCATAAATGTAGTTAAAATGAAAAATTGTCGACGTCAGACGTTTCGGTTTTAATAAACCATTTTCAAGACAAAATTCATTAAAATACAAATTCAGTTCAATATGACGAAAAACGATGGACATAAAAACACAAGTCTTATCCAAAAGTAAAACAGATAACTGAAAATTTTTAAAAAGATCAGCTTTCCGTTTAACGTGGTCACGCCGTAGTCACATGGGCGACGCTCCCATAACGTATTCCTAAAAGTTCGTGATTATTTTAAAATTCCTGTATTTCCGGATAAGCCTGTAATCTTCCATGTTAAAAAAAAACGAATTTAGGTTTGTGTTTTCAGTAGACATATATATAATTAAGTGTAAATGGATAAAATCCGACAGAATGTAGAAATTTTGAAAAACAAACAAAAATCCATAAATGTAGTTAAAATGAAAGAATTGTCGACGTCAGACGTTTCGGTTTTTAATAAACCATTTTGAAAGACAACAAAATTCATTAAAATACAAATTCAGTTCAATATGACGAAAACGATGGACATAAAAACACAAGTCTTATCCAAGAGTAAAACAGATAACTGAAAATTTTTAAAAAGATCAGCTTTCCGTTTAACGTGGTCACGCCGTAGTCACATGGGCGACGCTCCCATAACGTATTATAAATTGTTCGTGATTATTTTAAAATTCCTGTATTTCCGGATAAGCCTGTAATCTTCCATGTTTTAAAAAACGAATTTTGGTTTTTGTTTTCATTTAGACAGTATATAAGCAAGTGTAAATGGATAAAATCCGACAGAATTAGAAAATTTGAAAAAACATAAAAATCCATAATAAATAGTTAAAATGAAACCTTTTTATTGTCGACGTCAGACGTTTCGGTTTTAATAAACCATTTTCAAAGACAAAATTCATTAAAAACAAATTCAGTTCAATATGACGAAAACATGGACATAAAAAAACACAAGTCTTATCCAAAAGTAAAAACAGATAACTGAAAATTTTAAAAAAATCATATTTCCGTTTAACGTGGTCACGCCGTAGTCACATGGGCGACGCTTCAAAACGTATTCCTAAAAGTTTATGATTATTTTAAAATTCCTGTATTACGGATAGTCCTATCTTATAATTTTTATTTAAAAAAAACGAATTTTAGTTAATGTGTTTAAAGTAGACAGTATATAATACAAATTCCTGTTTAAATGGATGAAATCCGAAACAGATTAAAAAATTTTGAAAAGTTATAAATGCAAAATCCTAAACCCAAATTAAAATGAAATAATGTATGTAATTTCAGACGTTTCGGTTTTAATAAATGTTTTAAAGACAAAAATTCATTAAAATTTATTCATTTCAATAATAAATAACGATGGACATAAAATACAATTTTATAAAAGTAAAACGTTTAAAGGAAAATTTTTTAAAAAGATCAGCTTTCCGTTATATTTTACGCCGTAGACATAAATATTTTTTAAATATTTTGTTTAGGATTGAAAATTTTATTTATAATTGAAAAACACTTAGAAACCAATAGTCTAAGACTTATTTAAAATATTTAATAAAATATAAAATATATATTTTATATAATGTGTGTGAAAAAATAATAAAAAACACAATCAATGTGTGTGTGTGTAAACCCCATGCCAGAATAGTATTAATAAAAACCCTACACTTAAATCAGACAATAACAGTGAAAATTATGTGATTGTAGAAACCCAGAAGACTGTCCATTGGAAAATAAATGCTGCATCAAATCTGTGGTATACCAATGTACTATCTCATCCATTGAGAGTCCTAATACTAATACGATATACATTGGGTCCACGAAGAATGATTTTAAAGATAGATGGAGGCAGCATCAATTATTTAATTTCAACAATATAAATAAAAGAAATCAGACTTCCCTATCTAAATATTTTTGGCATCTGAAGGAAATAAATAGGACACCTAAAGTAAAATGGAAAATTATAAATAGGACTAGAACATAAAACTTGGGATGACCCATGCCTTTTGTGCCTCCATGAGAAACTGCACATTATTAAGTTTCTAAATAATAAAAATCTATTAAATTATTAACGGTTGAGTTAACGGTTTTTTTTTGCCGACATCATCAAATTTATGCACATGAATAATTAGCTAAAAACAAGCATACAATATAATAACTTTTATAATCCATAGCCCAAATAAATAGTTTAAATTTAAAAAAAGATAACCCTTTATGAAGACGTCAAAAAAACAAATGTTACGGCAGTTTTTATATGCACAAATATTTTTTTTTCATAAATAAAAAAAAAAAAATAAATCTCCATAGACACGTAAACCAGACTAGGCGAAAACATCTTCCGTTTCAAATTTAGACACCCCCAACTTACCCTGACTTGACATCTATGAAAGTAACTGTATACTAATACTTATTATTAGCACCTAACACACCCCTACAAAATTTAAACAATTCGCCCTAGCTGTTACCATGGAAATTTTGATTTCAATTATGAATATACTATTAAAACACGTAAATTTCAGAGATAAGTTATTCCAAAAAAAAAATTCGCTTGAAGATGGAAGAGAGCTTACTTTAATTCAATTTAATTAAAATAATAATTATATTGAAGTTTTCGGCTCTTGTTTTGAAACATGAGACCTTTTATGTCGCGTGTTGGAATCATATTTTTAAATAAATAATTATATATATATATATATATATATATATATATATATATATATATATATATAAAAAAATTTTAAAAATATATATTACCATGTGGAGAAATTTCCCATTTTTCTATAAATTTGAATTATAAATTCAATTATAATTTAAAATAAAATATAAAGGTCCGTTTCATTATCAAGTGATGCTAAGAATAATGACACATAAAAAAGAATTTTAAGTTGGAAATTTTTATAATTGAATTTGAATTAAACATTTGGTTTTGAAAGAAAATTTCGGTGTTTTATGATGCTAATATATTTTTTTTAAAACAATTATAATATTTCTTATCTACTGCTGTATCGAGCACTTTTTTTTAAATAAAAATAAATGCTAAGAACTTATGAATTATAAATCTAATTGTTTTTTTCCATTATTTTAATATATATATATATATATATATATATATATATGTATGTATATGAGACAGGTTTTTTATGCTAAACGTAATCATCAGGCTTTTAGATTACGTTTAAGCATAAAACGAACTGTCGATATTTTAATGTTGATTTCAATGTACGCTTTTTTATATTTACACACGCTCTATCACTAATATTGAGCATTTTTCGTTATATATAAATATAGCATACTTTAAAACTGTATTTTTTTATATATATATATATATATATATATATATATGTGTGTGTGTGTGTTCATACATTCCTTTTTATAGATACAAATATTTAAGTAAATTCTCTGTTTTTAATAAACACTGTTATTAAATTTTCATGGCCTGAATGTCTGAGAAAAAATCGTGAAAATATATATTTCGACAGGAATCGAACCTGTATCCTATACAGAACCGTCATATAACCTGACGTGCCGTAACCGATTTGGCCACAGAGGAGCGTTCTGTTATGGAGGTCGAATTTATTGTTTTTAAACTACAATCTTCCATGATTCTCTCACGTACATTTATATCTGCTCATGGCGTATCCAAATGTAAACAAATGACGTCACACATTATGAAATGGACAAAGTTCGACAATTATTTTAAGATATTTCTTATGTATATACATTCTTTTTTTATAGATACAAATATTTAAGTAAAGGTTCTGTTTATAATTATGGCGAAATCGTGTATCCTTTACTATGACGGTTCCGTATTAAAATTCAATAACTTCTCTCTCTTTATCTCTTCCTCTTTTTCTCAATCTCTCTATCTCCCCCAATCTCTCTTTCTATATATCTCTCTCAATCTCTCTCGTTATATCTCAATCTCTATCTCTTTATTTCTCTCTCAATCTCTTGTCATCTCTCAATCTCTCTATTTATCATTCTCTCTCACTCTCTCGTTATCTGTTTCAATCTCTCCTACTCTCTTAATCTCTCTATTTATCTCTCTTTCTCAAACTCTCTCTGTTTATCACTCTCTCAATCTCTCTCGTTATCTTTCAGTCTCTCTCTTTCTCTTTCAGTCTCTCTCTTTATCTTTCTCTCTCTCAATCTCTCTCTTTATCTCTCTTCCATATCTCTTTATCACTCTCTCTCAATCACCCTTTATCTCTCTCTGTCTCAATCTCTGCCACTCCCTTAATCTCTCTCTTTATCTCTTTCTCAAACTCTCTCTTTATCACTCTCTCTCAATCTCTCTCTTTATCTCTCTTTTAATCTCTCGTCATCTCTCAATCTCTCTTTTTATCACTCTCTCTCAATCTCTCTTTATCTCTCTCTCTGTCTCAATATCTCCCACTCCCTTAATCTCTCTCTTTATCTCTCTTTCTCAAACTCTCTCTTTATCACTTTCTCAATCTCTCTCGTCATCTCTCAATCTCTCTCTTTATCACTCTATCTCAATCTCTCTTTATCTCCCTCTGTGTCTCAATCTCTCCCACTCTCTTAATCTCTCTATTTATCTCTCTTTCTCAAACTCTCTCTTTATCACTCTCTCAATCTCTCTCGTTATCTTTCAATCTCTCTCATTATCACTCTCTCTCTCTCAGTCTCTCTCTTTCTCTTTCTCTCTCTCTCTTTATCTTTCTCTCTCTCAATCTCTCTCTGGTCACCTTTCTTGAATCAGGCATTTGTGTTAATATTGTAAAAGAAAATTTGAGAAAGTCTAATTAGCAGACGATAAAAGCTCATGCATATTACTTGCGAATTTGAAAACCAGAGACGATTTCAAACTGAAATTGAATTCTTAGACAAAGAGCTTAGCAATCGTTCGTGTCGATAAAAATAAACATTTATTTAAGAGACGCAGGATTTCTGTTTAAACCGTTGGTTTCAGATGTACTTATAAAATATTAATGGTACCCTGCATTACAATATCGATTCAGTGAAAAATAGATGCCCAATTGTGAAGGCCTAAATATTGAAAACCATTATTAACAAAGTGTGACGAGTTCTTTCAGCTTAACTGCGTGTGTTTCAAACCACAACGCACACTATTCAAAATTTTAAACTTCCATTTCCACGGCTCTCAAAAAAAAAAAAAAATAAATAAATAAAGAAAAGCTAAGTATTATCTAATATTATTATTCCGGTAATTGAATCCTTTCTTCACATACATTAATAATCCATCACAAATTCATAGCTATACGTATAACAGCTAATATATATGTCCAACATTAGTCGCCTCCTAAGCATAAGAACATCAAAAATTTACATATGAAATAGTCATAGCTGATCATATGTAAATCAAAAGAGAATCTAAAATAATGTATAGCTGCTCCTATATAATCAGACCCTGAAGAATTAAGCCACAATCATAGAAAACGCATTTAAAAATAAAATAGTTAAAAGATTTAGCGCACGTTATACTTTAATAACTTCTCAAATGCCGTATGTGAGCATTCGTTATCAAATATAGATGTTGTACATGCTTTGAAGCCTGCGGCAGCTTTATCTTTAATTATAACAGACACTGGTCCCTAGCATGGCCACTGATATCAAGTCGAAGAAAATGAAATATACTTAATTATTGTCTTCATTCTTGGATAACAAATTTAATATAAGAAATAAGGAAACTGAATATAGAATAAGCTGCATTACACGTAGTTTCGCCGAATATTGTCAATGACTATAAAATCAAAACATTAACAAAAATGGAGTCATGGTTTTAACCCTTTGAATCCTGTGTTCCCGAACAATTTTAATCTTTCAGCCTGAGCTCAAAATTCGCAAATAATTGGTATATAATGTTTCACGGTAGATATAAAAATAGTTACCCGTTCAACCGGTGGCTAGGCATTAATTTACTTTTCTCTATCACTTTTCAACCGGTGGCTGGGGATTATGTAATTTTTCTCTACCATCGGTAAAGCAATGGTCAGTGCTCAAAGAATTAAACTTTTTTAACGCTATGCATATATTCTTAATATTCCTTTTATATTCATACGGCATGCTGCAAATGAACTTATTTCCCTCGAGCCCAGTGAGGAAGATATGCCAATGACATAGATATTCATAGGTGGGATAAGAATAATTATTAAGTTACAACCCACTTTATTTTTGTCTGCCAACTGGACGCTCGTTGGGAACCTCCTTGCCAGAGTGAGCTACAAATTCCTGAATCATCACGGTGGCTGGGCATTAAGTCATGTTTCTCTACCACTGTTCAACCGGTGGCTGGGCTTTACCTCATTTTTCTCTGCCACCGGTAAAGTAAAGGTCAGGGCTTAAGAGTTAAGCAGCCTGATCAGGCTTTCATATAGATGTCATGTATGCCGTCAAACTCGTTCGGAAATATCTAAAATGTTGCATATGATCCCTACGAGCAAGTAAAAACTGTCGCACTGCCGAGAAGCATTCTTGTTCATCCATTGTAGACTGGCGCTACACAATCACAAACAAAGAACTGTGCAAAATAACAGAAACCACCATGCAAAACAAGTGTAACTCAAAGACAAAGGAATAGTATAATGAAGATGTTAGGAGGGAAGCGCACATCAATATTGGAAAGAGCGATAACAGTTACTGGACTTGAAAAACCTATTTTCCTGCAAAAATTGGTTTAAAAGAAGAGTTTTATTAATTTCGACCGGAAATAGCACCGGAGGCTCAGCCAATAAATACCGGATGTTTCCTTATATGGAAAGGGCTAATATGCTTCTCCTTCTGTTTGCCGTGTTCCTTCATGGCTCTCCACAATTTCCTGTATTGTTTTATATTATAATATATGAAAATTTCTCAGAGTTAACCTGTAGAAAAGACAATATTTATAAATATAAATGACAATAGGAAAACTGTAATAGTTGCCGACGCGTTTCGTCCAATGTGGACTTTCTCAAAGCAAAAAACAAAATGAATTTATTTAAACAAAGTAACTAATAATAACAAAAACAAAATGTCCTTAGCAACTGGAAGAATTTAGGAGAACGCTATTTTCATACTGTTAACTGAAAATTACGTCAATTACTGTCACGTGTAGAGATATTGTTATTATTGTTGTGTTGACGGATTACACCATTTTCTTTTGATTTTAGGGAAAAAAAGAAAATAATTCACTTAGAAGGAGAATTATAGAGAGTGCCGCCATTGAATATTATCCAAATATTAATCTACGCCCGGGCGCTTTTTCCCTATTTCACCTTTCTTAACAGAATTACTGCTCTCCCAAATAAACGTACACAACAGTATCGTGCATGTATCTGGTGTATGAGTGCGACACATATAATATATATATATATATATATATATATATATATATATATTATACACTTTTACATTAGAACATGTACATACCCACTACAAAACCGTACATCTTGTTTCAACTTTAAATTAACGTTTCTTCAGGTAGGAAACCATGATAATATTTATTGCTTTACTTTTGTATTGAGCGCTGTTTTAAATTAATGTTCTGAACGTCGTAATTTTTACTCTTTTTTCTTTTACATTTGGATATATATATATATACAAACATACACACACACATACACACAAACATATATATATATATATATATATATATATATATATATATATATATATATATATATATATATATAAAAAGAAAAAGAAGACAGAAAAGTTTTTTTAGATATAAGATATTTTTGGTATTCCGGATCTTGTGGCATTTATCTGGCGAAGAATGGTTATTTTCACATATTATTTAAAGGAATTATTTTTTCTTATGTTTGCTTATGCTTGTCTTTTGTCTCTGGAGGTACTCCAATTTCTTCTTGGACTGGCGGAAAAATACCCCTTTGTTTAATGCGTAATAATTATCATTTGTTAGATAAAAGGGGAAGGAAGAGAGGTTTGTTCTTATCTTTTTATATCCTCTGCATCTTTTTAAACCTTGTTCCATTTTTGTTTATTGTGTGTGTGTCTACTATTTACATTATTTGGACTATTGTCCTCACCTTGGTCGTCATATTTATTACAACGTTTCTGCTGTTATACGCTCCAGCCTTCTTCAGGTGGTTGGAATGTCGAACTGAACCTTTTATTTCCCTCATGGGGTAGACTGTTCTAATTCCATGTGCCATGTCTAATGGATGTCAGTTATCAGTTATTTCCTGTTAATTCCCCCCTCCAAGTTAACAAGCTGCCTTAACGGAGTATTGAACTCACACTCTTTGGGTCATGTCACTGGATCTAACCAACGCCTTTATCCACTGTGCCATGTGTCCTTGAGGAGACATACAGTCATATAGTGTGTGTGTCTGTTTGCTAGTATGCGTATATATATTCCTTCTTCACACATATAGTGATAGTATATATACATACACACTTTGTATGGTATGTAGTGTTAGTTTGTGTGTGTGTGTGTGTGTGTGTGTGTGTGTGTGTGTGCGATCTGTCTTGTGTGTTTGTTTTTGCGAGTATGCAAATCTTATACTTATCTTGTTAAGTGCGTCTAGATTTTCTGCTATTTCTGTAAATCGATCTGGATTGTTCTTGTTGAATGTTGAGACATATGCTAGAGTTACAAGAGCAATCCAGAACTATTTACAGAAATGACAAGAAATCTAGACCTACTTAACGAGAATGATAAAATGCAAAATATACTCAAAATAGCCAAAATAATTAAAAGCAAACGTCAATAAAAAACGTAAAACTATATATTAACCTCATCAAAATTAATCAACACACAATACAAGGGGTCCCAAAATGCGCTAAGAAAAGATGTGGCATTTGTGATATCATTATGGCAGGAGATTGCTAAACTTTTGAAAACACCACAGCAACAATCACAATAAAGACAAACTTAAACTGCAACTCCAAAAATATGATTTATGCACAAAATGGAACGAATTCTATATAGGTATCACTCAAGAACTAAACACCAGTCTTTCCCTTCACAAAAGCAACATTACCAGACAGCAGGAAACTCTTTGTGTCACAACACAATCACAAATGCAGCAAAGGTAAATTTAAAATTATGACAGTATATATAACAAACGGTTACGCTTACCTAAAAATACAGGAAAAAAAACTTCTTAGACGGATTTAAACCAGCTCTAAGCAAATCATAAGTCCACACACATAAACACACACTATATACACATAATAGTAAAACACACTCGTCGGACCACAAACACACGCATACGCGTGCGCGCGCGCGCACACACACACCATACAAGATAATGTAGTTACTGTATAGATTTCCTTATAATAATACAATACATAGTACAATATGGATGGAGAACGAATATATACACGCACACTGGCAAAAAAAGCACACTAGAATAGATTAACTGCTTTAAATAATATGTTGAAATAACCATTCTTCGCCTGATGAAGACCGAAACGTGTGTAGCAAAAAGATATGGAAAATGAAGTCATAATATATAAAAAAATTAATATTATAACCAAAAACGTTTGTGGGTGGCTTCTTTTTCTCTTTAGCATATATATATATATATATATATATATATATATATATATATATATATATATATATATATTATAAAGCATAGTAATAAGTTGGTCAATAAAACAAAGTTAAACGAAAATTACCGATGAAACCAGTACGAAAAACATTTATTAATATTAACCAGGTGACAAAAAAACGAAGCATGGATATGAAATATCAAAAGTTCGGAATTTTCGAACACGCCTGTGTTCT